GCAGGAAAGTATGATTATTTGTCACAAGACTTGCTCTTCAAGAGCCGCACTCTCGTCTGCCTACACGAGGTGGACACTGCAGACAAAAGATGGGTGACTCAAATAAAATAAAGGGATAATGAAAGCTCTATGATATAAATCAACCAGTTACAATATCCCTTTTTTGGTCAGTTCCTTTAAATAGAGCTCATGAATTGATGACAGCAGATTCTAGGAAGGACAAACACTAATGAGTGAACAAATGAGATATGGACAACTGCTACAAATGAAAGCTCATACGGACTAATCGCAAACCTTTTTGTAGTACTGCCAATCTTTAGACAGAGGCTTGTCTCCTTCCAGGGGTGATTTCGACAAGAAGAACTCGTATGGTGGTTCGTAATGCTTCTTGTCATGCCAGAACATACCCTTCTTCCAGAAGGAGTGGTCGAATTCTCCATTAGCTAGTTTTTCCTGAAAAGGCAATTATCCAAAACGTTCAAAGCAGCAGCTACTGATGAAACTCGGAGTGCAAAAATTTGGTTGTGCAATAGACCATTGGTAGTATTAACCACTATGGACTTGAACTTGAATGGTAGTGCGAAATAAGATAATGACAAGTTCGTGATTAACTTTCCATTACATGATTTTGCGAACACCCCCTTTGTGATCTTTACAACCTAGGCATCAACGCCATCGGCGACGCCACCTTCTAGTCATTATAGCCCCAGTGAAACTGTTTGGCAGTGCCCCGGTCTGATTTCTAACTCAATGAAAAGTTCTTCGGGATACTCAAAGTTTCTTTTTTAAAAAAGGCTAAAGATTAGAATATGCGAAATCTCTCATAATGAAAAACAAAGATATTGTTCCGCTGGAAAGTACAAAGTCATCAAAAACAACTTGTTGCGGAGTGCAACTGGGGTGTTTGGGGTATTTCTACCATGGCAAGACGGAGGATTAGAGAATAACAAGAGTATTAATTGTATCCTTTTGGTATACCAAACTCCCGATATTTAAACGCTCACGCTAAATAGATGTGAAAAAGAGTACCAAGTAGTTATGCTGTTATCTGGTCAATCTTGTTCCAAAGGGTGGGCGTTCACGGGCCTTCTGTTGAGAAGGCTGTAAATGACCCAGCACTTAGAGCATACAACACGCAAAAGGCGTGCAGTTTTAAAACAGGCCTAGGTCGCGTAATCAACAAAAGCAGTGTGATTGCAACTATGATGGCATACGACGGCTACCTTCTCTTCCATGAAAGGTACGGAAGAAAAGTTAATGGAAGTAAGAAAAAAATAGACCTTGTGTTCCTTGATAGCCTGCCTTCGTGCCTCCATTATTTCAGGATGACGCCGTTCCCAAATAAGCCGATGCTTTTGCTTCATGTAGGCATCACGAACATCAGCTTCCCCACCCAATTCACCATACTTTATGAAGAAGTTCAGCTCATTCTCTTCCATATCTTCAATGACCTAAATGAAGAGTGAATACTGCCTTCACTGGACATCACTGGAAAGTACGAAGTAGTAGGGCGGACCTTCGCACAGTGTGAGAAATCCGGTTCATGATAGTTCATGCAGCGTTCAACACGTCCACGGAGGGTCTAAAACGGGCTAATCAGTGAAATAGTTACGAAATTACTCAATAGTCCATGCCTGAAGAATGAATCCATCGACCATTTTGTCAAGGCGGTATTGCTCATTAGCTTCAAAGAAGCAAGCCTGAAAAATTTATAATCCAGGTGAGGCAGAGTTCACTCT